TACTGTCCTCACAAACCACCACAAGCCTTTACTGCGCACTTTGTCCTCACTCATGCGCGCCCTGAGAAATTTCCCAGGGGGTCACCTATCCCAAGACTACTCCCGTGCAAGCACGCTTAACTTTGGAGTTCTTGGGTGATGAGCTCCCTTAAAAGGAGATGCACCTCTGTTGGTATGAGTAGTACTATTAATCCTCTTAAATTAATCTCGGGTATTGTAACACTTGAGATTTAATATAAACGGATTAATAGTACTACTCATATAAACAAGATGCATCTCCTTTTAAGGAAGCTCATCCGCTAAGAACTCCAAAGTTAAGCGTGCTTGCACGGGAGTAGTCTTGGGATGGGTGACCCCCTGGGAAGTTTCTCAGGGCGCGCACGAGTGAGGACAAAGTGCGCGGAAAAGGCTAGTGGCGGTTTGTGAGGACAGTACTATTGGTCCGGAATAACTACCTCGGGTCCTGCGGGGCCGGGGTGTTACAGGTAGTATCAGAGCAACCACGCGACAGTGTACTGACCCGTCGGATATCGGGCGGGCACTTAGCGGGGGAAAATTCTGGGATTTGATTGAGATTTGATATTGGTTCAAGGGCGCAACGAGGACGTTGCAATCCTAAGTCGGGGTGATTGTAACACTTGAGATTTAATATAAATGGATTAATAGTACTACTCATACCAACAAGATGCATCTCCTTTTAAGGAAGCTCATCCGCTAAGAACTCCAAAGTTAAGCGTGCTTGCACGAGAGTAGTCTTGGGATGGGTGACCCCCTGGGAAGTCTCTCAGGGCGCGCACGAGTGAGGACAAAGTGCGCGTAAAAGGCTAGTAGCGGTTTGTGAGGACAGTACTATTGGTCCGGTGGATATCGGGCAGACACTTAATGGGGGAAGATTCTAGGATTTGATTGAGATTTGAGATTGGTTTATGGGTGCAACGAGGACGTTGCGTTCCTAAGTGGGGGTGATTGTAACACTTGAGATTTAATATAAACGGATTAATAGTACTACTCATACAAACAAGATGCATCTCTTTTTAAGGAAGCTCATCCGCTAAGAACTCCAAAGTTAAGCGTGCTTGCACGGGAGTAGTCTTGGGATGGGTGACCCCCTGGGAAGTTTCTCAGGGCGCGCACGAGTGAGGACAAAGTGCGCGGAAAAGGCTAGTGGCGGTTTGTGAGGACAGTACTATTGGTCCGGAGTAACTACCTCGGGTCCTGCGGGGCCGGGGTGTTACATATTATCTCTGTCTCATTTTATGCGTCTTATTTTGGTTTGACACAATTATTAATAAAGTGGTTGAAAAAGTAAAATTATTGTTAACATTTGAGTATAATAAGGTAAAATGATGTGAGCTACATATTTCTTTCCAAAAAAGAGAACATAACACTTATTTTGGGACAACTCAAAAAAGAAAGTGAGACACATATAATGAGACGAAGGGAGTAGTTCATTTCTACAATTGGGTTAAATAAGGCCATGCATTTTTATATTTTTAAAGTATTGCATAATAATTGTTGGGTGTGTTTCGTAAAATAATGAAAATTAATTAAAATGACAAAAGAAATACAGAAAATTAGATGGAGCAGAAAATAGCCAAAGCTCGTGCTACGCACGATGGACTTGAAACGTATTTGTCTCCTTCCACGGTGCTAGGAGCGTTGCAACGACCGTTTCCCAGGATACAGTGGCTAATGAACTATCGTTTGAGCACACAAACAAAAGTTCTGGCGAACGGGGACAAGTCCGAACACTAAGGAATTTTTTCAGAGAGCTGGAGGTGTTTTTAGCTGAAGAAATACATGGAGATTATGTATGATTGCATGTGTTGTTGCAAAGCACATGCCAACTATTTATAGGAGGATTTGTGGTGTGTTAATTGAGTTTTAATGGACCTGAACGTTGTAAATAAATGGCCAGCACGTAGGACATTAATATGGAGAAAAAATGTCAATTTAAAAAAGCATTAAAAGATACGAACGTTGGGCATTAACTCCTGTAACGGACCAGAAGCGTTCTGGTGCCGGAGCGACCAGAACACCCGCACCAGGTCTTCTGGTTCCGATCAGTTCTGTTGCGAAGACGAGAAGAGGCCGAAGCCATTCTATCCGAGCACTTATGGTTCTGGGAAAAAATAAACGTTATATAAAGAAAAAAAATTAAATCGTGTCTTTGAAAGATAGATTTTTGGACGACAATCATGTCTGCAGGTCATCCGCAGTCGTGGTTTCTTTTCTCATATCTTGGGATTTAATTCCCCCCCTCCCCCTGCGCGCAAAGAGAACATTTCCACTTAGGATTCTTAACTCCTTAAAAGAGGCTTCCCTTTATAAGGGTGATGGATAGTGTACCCGGGGGTAGCTTATCCGAAGGGTTATTACGGGAATAACCTAGAGAGAAGTCAGAGCAAACAAGTAGGAGAGAGAGGCGATTATATTTATGAACTCGAGATGTTCTAGTCCTTTACAAGAGGAATAAGGGCTGCTATTTATAGCAGCAATAAATGCGATGAGAGTACACGTGTCAGTAATCTAACGGCGGCCGAGGGGTCACCTCAATCGGGGTGGCACCGGCACTTGCATGTGCACCGCATTAAATGCAGTGACAAGTAGCATGCAAATGGACTTAATTGAACTCTTTTACAAAATTCGGAGATTTGATTGATTACTTTTAAAGTATGAGGACCTAATTGACTTTTTCGTGATAGTACGAGAACTAAATTGAAAGTTTTCCCTTTTTATATTGATGTTTCAACTTATATAAAATACTAGTTTTCTACATGCACGTTGCGCAATGAATAAAATGCCCAATGATTTTTTTTTTTGAAAATATACACATTAGGTGTTGATTTGATATGATTACTTTTAGTTTTTAACATTTTTGGGGGAGGCCCAAAAATAAAACAAAAAATGCAAATGCACATACGAGCTAGCCCCTATTTTTGTAATTTCAAAAGAAAAAGTATCACTAACATTGTGATAAATATCTAGTACATAACTAAATGTTGTTGACTCACATTCGATCTAATATAATACCTTCACATGATAATATACGACATACAATGGAGAGGTACAATAAAAATAATACGTAATTTAAAATTACTTTTAATAATATCAACTATCTGAATCTGAATAGATAACAAAAGTGGCATAGAACAACTCCTAACTAAAAATTCAATCATTTAATTCATCAAAAAGTAATGTCAAAATATTAAATAAGTGATCATATTATATTGTCAACTATCATTTATTTGATAGTTTGATATACGTTTTTGATGTCTTAAATGATTGAATTTCTAGTCTAAAAGTGGTTTCATATTATTTTTGTTGTTTATTGAAATAGTTGATATTATTAGAAATCATTTTCAAAGTATGTTATTATTATTGATTCATTCAAGATAGTTGTTATCGGAAAAGTGCTTGTGCTTAGGAACAAAATCGGGGCATACTAAGATGAGAAGCGGTTATTTTTTTAACAAAATATTATACGGAGTAATTTCAAGATACACTTTTATAGACCTAAGAAAATGTAGTGGAGAAGGATAGAAAGTAAGAAGTATACTCTTCTTCTGCACATTTGTAGAAGACTCCATCTCCTTTCTTTTAATTTCTTTTGACACTCATTTCCTTCTCACTTTACCTCTAGAACATATTACTCACAAAACTTGTAGCTCAGGACTTGAATAATCCTTTTGATAACAATGAAATTGATTGAATCGACATATTTTGTTAAATTTTATTAAATTCTGATAAAATTGTCTAAATGTGTCGAATTATGAAAGCATATACTTTACACAAAAATAATTACAATAGACTTTTTTTCTAATTCATCATAAAAGTGACACCAATCTAACAATAGCCAATTTAGCGTGTGACCAGTATTTGATTAATATGATAAGTCAAAATAGAGGCTGAGAAACAAGCTCAAAGTATTTACATTACTAACATAAAATAAACTTGTAACAATTTTAGTAGTAATCGTTTAATACTCCCTCCGTTCAGTTAAGATAATCTCATATTTCCTTTCTTGTCCTTCCACAAAGATTGTATTATATCAAGTTTGATAATGTTTGTGTGGATTTAAAATCATTATTCTTACTTTATTTTCACTTTATCAATTCAATATCAATCACATAAATTCACTTTTTGGATAACCACACCACTTTCTCTTGTACTAATGTTACGGGAAAGAATGTAGTAGCAAATGAGGTAGATTTTCCTATATAAGTCACATATCTTCCTCAAAATTAATTAAGAGTCTATTTGGTAACTTGTTAGCCTTATCCATCAATATTTTTATCAAACATGTAATTTTTTATTTGTCAATTGTACAATAATCAAATAAGGATTATAGTGAATTGAATGCACAACCTGTATAAAAATGATGATAATGATTTCGTAATTCAATACTATTAAATTATCATGTTCTTAAAATTAATGCTCTGTAGTAAAAACATAAGTAAATAATTTTAAAAAAAAAATAAATAGTGCCCTTACACGGAGGAGAGACAAACGTGCATCTACCCATATACTCCGTATGATATATTTGTAACGACGATTCGATCGCAAGTATGCATAAATTAGAATGTAAAATCAAGTGATAATTAATTTAATATTAAATGGAGATTTATGCAAATGTTAACGGTGATAGAGTTAGGGGAAGGAAGGTCTCGACTTCTTAAGTTAATGGAGCAGACTTCTTAATTTAACGGAGCAATTAAGAAACATGGGAAAATGAAATGAGAGTATAAAGTGTAAAGTGTAGTGTACAATCACTTATTGCTATAAAGTTTCACCAACACATTTTTTATACCTAAAAGGTCCTAACTCTCATTGGCCTTTATAAGATTTTAGATAAGTAGGCATATACACATTACTAATTATCGTGATAGGCATACATAATGAGGCGAATTACTTTCGTAAAAAATTAATTTAATTCATCATTCTTGCAATGCACGAGTCAATTGATTGACTAGTAGTGCTAATTAGAAGTAATTAGTCATTTCAGTCCGCCTCCCAGTATACAGCACTCGCAGGTCAGCGAGGTTAGCTGCTAAACAAGGTGGTTCGAGCACACAGGAAGCATCAGAGAATGTTTCATACTGTGGTTCCTTTACCGTTGAAAATGATGAGGTTATAGATATCAACTCCAAACTCCGCGCTCTTCAATTGGATGAAGAGCTAGAACAAGCTGATTCAACAAGTCGCTCCTCGAGTGGAATTGAGAGCCAGTGTTTGGCTAACAAGGAATTGAATATTGTTGACATGCACCAAAGCTCAGAAGAGTTTGCCACCGAGAAGACTGCTAATGGGCTGGGCGAATCTATTGATGCAACTGAAGATTTATCTTCTGACACCAAGGAATCAAATGATGTTAGAATGGACTTGCAAGAAGGTGGTGATGCTGATCTTCAGCTTAGATGCCAGGAGGTTGTTGGTGATGGTACCAAGACTGTACCTGAAAAGTTGGACGATGACAAGTCTGAAGTGCCAAATACTGGAGAAGTATCTGAATATGTGGCAGAAAATGCTGATGCTCTATATGGGAGGGTGGAGATTCTTGACTCAACAAGTGCCTTGACTGAAAATGACAATCAAGGATTGGTCATCAAGGAAGTGAGTGCTGATATGCACCAGACTTCTGAAGAATTTGCCAACAAGATTATTACTAATGTTCTGGGTGATATAAACGATACAATTGTTTTTTCTGCTGAAAAGGAATCAAATGACGCTGAAATGGAAGGTGATGGTTTTCAGGAGGTTGTTGGTGATTATTTGACTACATCCAAAAAGTTGGACGATGAAGATGATAAGCATGAAGTACCAAATACTGTTGAAATGCCTGAATGCATTGTAAAAACTGTTGATGCACTCCGCAGTTCGGAGGTTCATGGTGACCAAGATTTAACAAATTCTGCCTGCTTGAGTGAGAATGAGGATCAAAATTTGGTCAGCAAGGAAGTGAATGTTGTTGATACGCACCAAGGCTCGCAAGTCTCTGAAGAATTAGGTATCACCAATGGGCTTAGTGAAAATGAATATGACGAATCTGCTGCTGGGAAGGAATCATCAAAACACGAAATGGAATTGCAAGAAAGTGCTGATGATGAGCAGCAGCCTGACATTAATGAAATCTACTGTGACTATAGCAAAAGAGAAGGAGAAGAGAGGGAGGACGGCTGTGGTGATGAAATGTTGGAGCAATTTGATGGTGGTAAGAATGAGACTGTGGAGGATAATACTAGCAGCAATGATGAAACCTTGGGTGACGATGATAATGAAACCTCAGGTGAAGATGATGATGAAAAGGTGGAGCAATTTGATGGTGGTATGAATGAGACTGAGGAAGAGAATACCAGCAGCAATGATGAAACCTCAGGTGAAGATGATGATGATGATGAAATGGTGGAGCAATTTGATGATGGTGGTAAGAATGAGACTGAGGAGGAGAATACCAGCAGCAATGATGAAACCTCAGGTGAAGATGATGATGAAATGGTTAAGCTGCCATCCAACAAACAGCAGTTGGCGACAAGTAAAATGATAGGGTATTCATCTGGTGGCCTGCATCAGGAGGAGGGAAAGGGGGAGAGCATATATGGTGGGGCGAAGTTTGATCCACAAGAAGCAGAATATGATGAGAATGCTGAAAACATTCTGCCTCCAGTTTCGGACAATAAAGAGAACAAGATTGAAACAACTAGTGGGGAGGACATGAATATATATGCAGAAGCTCTTACTACAGAGGAGAAGCCCACAAAGAATGAGCAACCCATTAAAGATTTAAGCATGAGAAAGCTGCGTAAGATGTTGAAACAGTTTCGTCCTTTTCATGATAACGCCAAGGCAGAGGAAGTGAAAGAAGAAGAAGCTGCCATTGCCTCCTCCCATGTCAGAAACGGTAAACATAAGAAGTGGGGGAAAGGCCGGAAAAACGCTTTCACGGTCAGACCCGCCCTGCAGCAGGTCTCTGAGAACAGCTTGGCTGTTGGCAATGGTTTCAAAAGCACATCTCAAAGTTAAAGAAGATGAAGCAGAAGATGTGAAACAAACAACACTTTACTTATCATAAATTCTAATAATTGCAATGTTTTTTTATATTCACTACGGGGAGGCATTTCAAAATGTTTTGAAGTGTGGTAATCCCTAGATTTTGCTATTCGTAGGCCTATCAATATGAAATGACTGTTTCCTAAAAAAAAAAAAAAAAAAAAAAAAAAAAAAAAGAAGCCTATGTGAATGAGGATAAACAATTACTCCGTATATGGTTACACGAGTTACAGTTCCTAAAAGGATAAAAAAAATAAAAAAATCAAAATTGATCAATGCGATAAACCGATCAAAACCGAATCAGCCCAAACATCAATAATTGATTTGCTATAGATCACAAAAATCAAAGTCAGAAAATTATTTTCAGAAATAATGACATATGTACAAGTGAAACAAAGACATGGGAAATAATGACATCAGGTATTACGTAGTACTGTCGTATGTATTCGAATATAAAGTTTATAAACATGTGCGTTTACTTTTAGCATATGATCGTAGGCAGTGATTTATTCTCTCACCCTATATATATAGTTCTAAATGCTAATTAGGAGTCATTATGAAGCTAGGGAGTAGTACGTACTAGTGTTTTAATAAACCAAGTAAGATCATATCCAGAAACAAATTAAGACCGGAAAGGAGATTATATTGGGATAATGGCGGAAGTGAGCAACAAGCAGGTTATATTGAAAAACTACGTGAGCGGGATTCCAAAGGTATCTGACATGGAAATCCGGACGACCACCGTGAAGCTCGAGCTCCCGGCGGCGGCCACCAATGGCGGCGGCGTATTCGTCAAAAATCTCTTCCTTTCATGCGATCCGTACATGCGAACTCGAATGACGAAGCTGCCCCCCGATGCTGGCTGCTACCTCGGTGTCAATAGTTGCTTCAAACTGGGCTCCGTAAGCCCCTCTAATCTTTTCGAAAAAACGTACAACTTTATTTTCTAGAATTACCATTATTTTCTCCTGAAAGAAGATGAATGTGCTCACTGGTGAGCTCACCCTTATATATTTAAGTTTCTATTCTTTCATTCTTTTAATAAGACTGAATAAATCTTATTTGGAGAATATATTTCATCCTATTTTAAAATTTTACTTATCTTTTATTCATATTTTCAACAATTATATTTATCGTTTTCCAAATAATGTTAATTTCTTTATCTTATTAATAAATATGAAATAATGGCACATTTGATGGAAAGCTAGTACTACCTCAATCTCGATATAACTTCTCATAAGAAAATGACACAATTATTTAGGTAGTAATTAGCAAGGTTGTCAATGGCGCGCCATGGCGACTGCGCCATGCGCCATGTGGCGCGGAAAATGCCCCTTCGCCATAAAAAGGGCTGTGGCGTTGGGTATACACATGGCGTCACCATTGTGTCGCCATCGCCATTTTATCGCCATCGCCATGGCGATCCTTTGACATTTTAAAAAATCTGCGCACATGAAGGTTCGGAAATTTGGGGCTGTTGGGCCTGCTGAACGTTAACATAATAAAGCTAAATAGAACTTTATATAAAAACCTATTATAAACACACAAAGCCCATTATTAACAACCCTAACAAAAAAACTTAAACAAACAAAACTTGGAGTGCGGACAGTATGCGACAAAGTTAAAGGCAGCCTGCGACAAACATATGAGCGCCAAAAAAAGACACAACCAGAAGCTGGGACCTCATTGACTTCTTCCAACTACAAAAGGTATGACTACCCTCTTTAATGCTCTTATTAATGAAGAGAACTTCAGTTTATACTCTTTATTTATACTTTATACACTTTTTTTACAATAGTTTATTCTTTATAGAAAAGAGTATATGAAACCAACTGTCAAAAAAGCTTCAGTTCATTTAATACTTCAGTTTGTGTTAGTTTATGTTAAAATGAACTAGTTTATACAGTTATAACTTATAAAGTACTTTATAGTTTTTACTTTAAAATGAAGTTTATCTGTTTATAGCTAATTAACTTATAACTTATAAGTTATAACTTATAACTTAGTTATAACTTATAACTTATAACATTCATAACTAAGAAATTTATGAAAGCTCTTAAACAACTTTAGTCTTTAGTATAGCTTTAGTTAAATCCTTCTGTTGTATAAAAAAATAGCTTGAGTTAAAACTGTTAGGCTTCAATGAAGTTTATCTGTTTATAGCTAATTAATAGTATGTCTGTATGTAAAAGTTATAAATGAGTTTTAAATTACTGATGTTACTTTATGTTCAGACTTTAATCACTTCATAGATAATATAAATGTATGTTACTGTATCTGTATGTTAACTTGCACTTTAACTACTTCAATTTGATACTTCATTGAAGTTTTTACTGTTGAACTTGCAGTCTTGCTGAAAGCCTAAATTATTGATTTCTGAGTTCTGAAATCTGAAAGCCTAATTTCAAAGTTCTGAAATCTGAAAGCCTAATTTCAAAGTTCTGAAATTTTGAAAACTTTAAATTTGAGTATTGTTTTCTAGATTATTGATTAGCACTTGGCTGAAATTTGAAAATATAGTGGACTGGTGGCTTGCAAATGGCTCCTCATCTCCCACTTTGCAACATCTTGCTGTTCGGATCCTTAGTTTAACTTGCAGTGCTTCTGGATGTGAACGAAACTGGAGTGCCTTTGAAAATGTAAGTTCATGAAACTGTCTATCATATTTAGTTTACGACTTTACGTTATCAATACTTCATTTTTTATCTACTTGTTTTAGGTTCAAACCAAGAAAAGGACAAGATTGCTGCCCAAAAAAATGAATGATTTGGTATACATTCGGCAGAATCAACGTCTTCAAGATCAAGCTTTCAAAAAAATGAAAGTATGTTTGGATGACATTGACGATTGCAATGAATGGATTGATGAAGCTGCCGAGTAAAATGAAATAGAAAACTGGGATGTAGTGGAAGAAGTTGTTGGTGTTAATGAACCAAATCACAACACAAGAGCAACAACATCAAGGGCATCAACACTTCACCTGCACGACGAAGAGGAGATGGAGGAAACAGAGGTGGCGGAGGAAATGGAGGAAACGGACGAGGTTGCAGATCCCTCTGATGATGAAATGAATGAGGATGGTGTGCCATTGCTATCAGATTCAGACCAAGATGATGATGAGTGCGATGATTGATGATGATTATGCCATAATCATCAAACAAAAACACAAGCTAACAAGCCTAAATCCTAACATATTTTGCTAGACATGAAACTTTTTTTGAATATTATGTTTTTGGGAAGTACTTTAAACTATTTTAACTTCACATGTTTTGCTTAGGATGCTGTTATTCAACTTTTTTATCATGTTTTGGTGGTGGGGTAACTTGGGTTGATGAATTGCAGTGTTTATTATTCATTTTGAAGTTTTTCTTTTGTCACGTGGCGACGCCATATTTGCGCCATCGCCATCGCCATGGGAAATGGCCTGTGCGCCATGGATTGCGCCATGCGCCATGACAACTTTGGTAATTAGATAGTCGAATATATTTTGACGAGTTATTTTAATTGGTATACAACATAATGAGACTGTTGATGACAACTATGGTATTAAGTTACAAGTGTATTATATTAAACATTTAATGATTATTTGTCATTTAATTAATAGTGCTAATTATTTACTTAAATAGAAATGATAAGTTTTAGTCGATTGTGCAGGCTATTGAGGGTTTGGGAGTGGCAAGAATAATAGAATTGGGCGGTAACCCAGACCTGAAGAAGGGAGATTTGGTATGGGGATTCACCGGATGGGAGGAGTACAGTGTAATGAATGTGGAGACGCTCTTCAAGATCCAACATACCAGTGATGTTCCTCTTTCTTATTACACTGGAATTCTGGGTATGCTAATTATCATGTACTACGTACTATATACGAAATACTTCGTACGTAGTATGTCTTATATATATACTTCCTCCGTTCTTTTTTAATTCATCTTTCCACGTTTGTCAACGCACAACTTAGACCATTAATATCTTTCATTTTTGATTAGTAAATAAATAAAAACTTTAGATTTTGAAAATTCAAAGTGAGAAGAATTTAACAATATAATTTAATATTTTAATTTTTAATACATTAATAAATAAAATATAGTCAAAGTAGAATATGTGAATAGTGCAAAAAGTTAAATGTTGC